AAAAGCATTCATTTTTTGACGCACGAGTTGCTCACCAACAACTGCCCCACTAATGGATGGGTTTTGTCCATTTTTACACACCCTGAGTATTTCCACCTTTCTTCGCTTGAAAAGCAATGGAGCAAGCTTGAAAGCCACATCTTCGAGATAAGTACCCCAGGCTCAGTCCAACGATGTATGACTGACATCAAAATCGTCTTGACTCGTTTGTGTCATACGCATGTTACTCCTTTCTAGGTCTCTGTTTGACTCATATTAATTATTCCATTTTGTTTATATAAAGAAGAATCTTTATCATGGCGGATGCTGCAGAGCGATAAAATGCTACAGTCTATGTTTGGCTTGGTTCTACTACTAATTCAAATAGTCGCACTTTGAAAACGCTGGAAGAACGCTTGAAAACGAGACACACAAATTTCAAAGCGCTTAATAATATTAATGATTTCCAGAACTTTATTAAAACACCTGATAATGAAAATATTTTACTTATCGTATCTGGATCCTATGGACGACAAATTGTACCGCAAATACACACTTTACGGCAGTTATTGAGCGTCTATATTTATTGTTCGAATAAAGAACAAAATCTCGAATGTACAAGAAAATACACAAAGGTATGTTCATGAGAAAAGTTACATTTGAATACCTCATGGCTTTCTACTACTATACTTTTGACAAGACGAGTCTGTTCGAATATTCAAAAACTTGTCAGACATTTAGCTCTGTTTCATCAAGTTTGAGCAAAGCATTAAAATTATATCTTGAGTTCTAGATAGAAGATGGTTAGGGCTGTTCCCAAAAACATCACAGAATATGTTTGTAGACAAAATCACAAAAAGTAACGCCAATCCGCTGAATTTAGTGCTTTCCTGAAAGACATACAAAATGTTACTTTACTCTTTGAAAGGTGCACACTTTCTCTATAAATCCCATTATCTCCATCTTGGATTCGTAGATACTTTCAGTAGCAATACCCAGGGTGGATTCGAACTTTCTTTCCAATATTTCTTCGATTTTAAATAACTAAGTCAACTGTGGGCCGACAGTCCATGACAGTGCCTTTTGTTTCTTGTGTGGAAACTCGTGTTGCTGCATTGCAAATAACTAATAGCCTATAAAGAACTTGTATTTCGACTTTTTCAACAAATTCCCAACTTTTATTCTTTCTATTTTAGTATTTTTAAATAAATGTATTGTATGAGCCTTTATGTCTACAAGCTGTTTAGCATTACTTTTCCTGAACAGTGAAACCAATCAATCGGGAGAAAATAGTGCAAACATTTTCAATAAGACGACTCTCAACTTCGTATTTACAGCCAAGGTTTTCAACTTTTGCTTCAACTCCAGAAGTAAAGAAGCATGTGTGAGTATTTAGAGCATTATAAATTCTATATTTGCTCTTCACATCGATCACTTTTTTAAATATCAAGGTTAGTGGTGAAGTATTGAGTTTTCAAAAATCCGGTAGATGCATACATAAAAAAGGTGATACTTGTCGTCAATCGACATAAAACAAAATCGTATTTCTCAGTCAATCATTAGTAATGATTGACTTAAGTAATGATTCATTACTTAAGTTGCCAAAGTGATTTTTCTCATGAAATTATAGCAAACTCTTGTGGGTGGAGGACGCGACGAACAGGAGTATGTGGGTGTTTCTGTGCAAATCTTAATGAGAAACAAAAGAGGCAAAATATCGGTTAAGAAAATGATTATAATAACTGTTAATGTTCCGATTTCAACTTGGCTCCCAAAAGGATGAAAAGAAGATCTTATTTATTATAATCGAACTGTCACATTGTCTTTTAATACAACTACACATATCACTAAGTTTCCAATAGCCTTTCTGGTGTTATTGTTCAAATGCGAGCTCGAGACCATGATACACTTACGATTCAGTCCTATAATCTCATGAATAAGAAGAACCACCATTACCATACTTCAGGTACAGTAAGCTATCAGTATTAGCCGTAAGGTACACTTACAACGGTGGATATCTTAATGGGGAAGCGTATGCAGAAAGGTACACACTATTATCAAGAACACAATTTGCAGTACTTATTGAAGATATCTCGAGTATTTGTGTACTCTTTTTTTATCAGATCAAATCTAGTACTTGGACGCACGCAGACAAACCACTCATTTGCTTTCTTGCTCCTACAAGAAAGTCAGGAAAAAACATGGCAAAGAGACAAACATGCGAAGAAAAAGAGAGACACGGGCATGCAGTCAAAAAGGGCAAATGTCCGTATTCTATTAGTGCTGATATACTTTGTTTTTCGCCAACAATGACTTTTCGGTGTCGGAGTCGCGTAACCTACGATGCAAAAGTAATTGCTGAAATCTCCAGCCATGGTTCTCCGCTCAGGAACATCACAGAAAGTTCATTCTTTTTCTGATTGAAAGAGCAAAGCCTAAACTTCAAAAAACATACAAAACAAAATTTCTGGGATTTACTTTGAGGAAGAAAAAAGTCTGATACTAAATGGCGCTAAAAAAGCTCTTGCAACATACGTTTTTTCTTTAATTTTTTAACAGAGTCTTAAGAAAACGTTTTGTTGAAAGCCAAATAGATAAGAAAGTAGCCCGTGCAAAATTCTATCGACTTTCTTACTTTAGAAAGTTTCTCGGTAATTCTTTAACGGTAAATAAAGCGCATTATAAGTCTTAGTTTTGACGGAAAGCACTACTTTGTATGGGAAAGATGTGACAGCGAGAAAAATTCGTTATTCAGAGCTTTAAACATGTTAGTAAAGGTTAAAACTAATGTTAATTTGTAGAGAATCGCATGATGTTCTAGAAAATCTGTTTTAGAAAAAGAACAAAGTTTGTCCAGTATCTGAAAATTATTAATTAAGTCTAATTATGTGTTTTTTGAAACTAATGAAAAATTTTGCAAAGTTACGGTCGAAAAGTGGATCCAAGCTTAATTTATCATACCCCATTTGAAAGAGTGATAAAAACACTTCTAGTTTTTATGATTATATAATTTCAAACGTATTCTGTTATAGGGAAAAATAGGTTTGATGCGAAAGATACGTTTGAAGAGGGCAGAAGTTGCAAGAGCTTTTTTAGCGCCATTCAATATCGTACCTTTTTCTTCCTCAAAACCAATCCCAAAAATATTATTTTATGTGATTTTTGAAGCTCAGGCTTTGCTCTTTCAATCAGAAAAAGAATGAACTTTCTATGATGTTCCTGGAGAACCATGGCTGGAGATTTTCGCAATTACTTTTGCATCGTAGGTTATAATGGTTCATCCACACTGTGTTCGGTATATTTGATTCGAAATCTGAGCCAGGAAAAGTGAATGATTCCATTAATTTTTGTTGACACTAGGTTTAATTGGAAATTGTTATCAGAACAGAATAACTGCATATATTTCTGGCATATAACAAAAAAAAACAACTGGAGGGAAGTACGAATATTTTGCAATGTCTTTAAGAGTAATAATCAAATGCTCTTCAGTCATAGTGAAGAAAAGAGAATAACACTTTTATATCTTGAATAAGTATTAACCCTGTTTTTTCTTTTTCTCATTCATACCTTTTTTTATTTCTTGACCATTCCTTATCTTTCGTCCAAGCGAGAGTTCTCCTTCTCATCCTCTACTTCTAGAGGCTAAACAGCTATTGCTTTCTTCTTGTGGCGCTTGCACATAGTGCTCTCTTTTTCTTTGATTCGATATGAATATATATCATTGGTCGATTATATTGGTTAACGATCACTCTGCTTGATCAATATACTCAATACAAAAGTATCGAAACACCTTGTCATTTTTCAATATTCATTATTATGCCAGATAATTCGTTTTATGACTTTCGAAGCTCATCTTTGCGGGTTTAGAAAAAGATGTTCAGAGCTATCCGTTCGAGAAATTAGAAAAGTTTATCACTTGGTAAGAGTGAATATGAAGTAATGCGACAAAAGGCTTTATTCGATACTTTTTTCGTATGCGTATTTCCATGATTCCCATTCCCATTAATATGGATGCGAGGCGGTTGGGATCACATCAGAAGCTGATGGATAGAAAAGAACTCATCACTGGATTCCAAGACTAATATAGCATTGGTTCTTATTTTTCCTTCGTCTGCAGACATAGGATTTATTGCCCGTCTTTGAAAAAGCAACTCATGGCAAATCCATTGTCTAAGGAGTACCTTGCAAACACATCAAGTCTCTAAAACTACACGTTAAAATAATTGTTTTTAGCCCATTATAACTTTCATACCTGTACAAAAAAGTATACAACATTGGTTAAAAAATATTGCTCCTTTGTAACGAAAATGAATGTTTTCGTATTCACCTTTTAGGAACAATATTTCTTTTCTTGTTCCTTTTTTCTTTTCGCATGATTTTTAGTCATACGTTCGCTGTGCATATCAAGACATTAATATAATTTTTTTTAAAAGTCGTTTTTGTCGGGAAAATAGTATCTCCTCCTACGGGTTATAATATAAAATTATAATTTTTTTCAGCTATATAGCCCTATAGTAAGAGAAATCCAATGAAAGAACGTTCTTTCGGCGAAAACGGATATATTCTTGCATTTGATTAGGGTGTGGATGTGAAATCATTTCAATATCGTTTCACTTTACAGACAGTTAACTTTTCTAGATGGCTTTGGAACTGACATGTTTCAATGTTTCTTTTTCATTACCAACAATACCGACAATCAATAATGTGACGAATATTCTTACTCATTCATATTACAATCCAAATGGAAAAGCAATATCTCAATTGATTTCATCATCATTAGCTCGCACAACTTTTTCTATAGCTGATTTTCAGTCATTTCTGAAAATAGTCACATCAGATGATATCGAATCGTGGGATGTTTCGACTATTGTCAAATTAAAACCTATCACATCGACTATTATCTATGCAAGTGTGACTTTGGCTCTATTCATTCTACTTTCATTAATATTTTGTATTATTTCATGTACCAGTTGTTGCAAGAGAGAATCCTTTGAAGTGAGTATTTGATACTGTTTCGAACAATGATTGACCAAGTCTTTTCCATTTCATTTTGTTTCAAGAGACGTCAAGGAATGAAAAAGCGAACATGTTCTGGACATCGTATTTGTGTTGTATTGATATTGCTGATTGGTTTGATTGTTATTGCTCAAATGATTTATTCTGCCTATCAAGTCAGCAGAACAAAATCATTTCTGGATGATTCAATCAAAGAAATGAATCAAGAAATTTATCCAAAAGAAATTTCTCTTTATTTTCAACATCTTCTCCAACAATTCGAACAACTTGATCAATATTCGACACAAAGTAATATTCACTTTCAAAAAGTTCGATTTGTTATTCAAATCGACTTTTTTTCTTCAATTAACATTTCAATCGACAAATGAGTCGAATGAATGTTGAATCTTTCGTTCGATAGAAAATTCGTTAAACTCATTTTATGTCAAATCGAAATCAAAAATATCTTTCTTTTTAGCTAATTCCATTTTGATCAAGGCATCACATTCGATGTTCGTCAAAGCATTTAACCAGATTTTTCAAGAAAAATATTTTCTTGACGAAATTCGACAATCGGCAACTGGTAGCGTTGTACATATCCACGAATTGAATATACTTATTAATCAAGAAACAAGTGTATTACCAGAAACAATTGCTCTTTTTCGAGAGATCCAAAATGAAAATCAAAGAATGATTGATGATTTAAAACTACCATTGCAAGAACTGTGTGATTATGCCAATGGATCTGAGCCAGAAATCGACGACACCATTTTCGATGCATTAAATCTTGTTCATCAACAATTGAGAAAATTGATCGATACAATTCAAAATGATATTCTTAGTCATATAACACCGTGGCAAAGTGCAATGTTAATGAATAAGGATTTAGAAGATCGAGTTCGATGGTATGTTCGTCTTGTGGGAACACTTCTTCTTGTGTTGATTATCATTCTTGGCCTCATTCCAATGGTTTTCTTTATTGTCATCGCTATATGTCGTTTAAGCCATTGTGAGCGAAATGATTCATCGTCAAATGATCGGTTAGTCTTATTGTCAATTCAATTATCTATCTGCTTCTGTTTTTCTCATATGGTGACACATTTGAGTCTCCAAGAAATTCATATGGTTTTCCGACACACATGTGCTGTGGACATAATGGTAAGGATAAAACAGCGAATTTTACTTCTGCCAGCCAGATTTCTTTCGACTCTAGTTTCAACCAATGAAGCTTGTCATGGCATTTTGAGGTTCACTTTCAGTTCATCAAGTTTTCCCTTATTTTTTCCTAGCCCATCACATTTTCCCTTCGTTTTATTTCGACCTGTCAAATATTTCTTGGGTTTGCTTTCATCTGTGGATTAACTTAGGCGCGACACCGACCGGTTGGTATCACACTGTACATGAGGGTGCCACAAATAGCTGATCACACTCAAAAATACGGAATATGCTGGCGTCTTCGGTGCGAATGCGATGAAGATTGGCGATATTGCGGGACATGGAGTTGAATGTTTACTGTTCCGCCAATACACGAACTATCCCACTGTTGTGTCACTATACCAAGTATAAGTCTTGTTCCCTAGCGATCCATGTATTTTAAATTTCGATTTTCTTGGAAAATCAAAATCCTCTCTGTCTCAAAAGTGGATCTTAACAGGATGCATGCACACGTTATTTATTAGCACAAACCAGCAAAAAACAGCCCAGGTCATTCTCTCTTCGGTCGCAATCAGCTCGTCAACCTCATTCCCTGAAACTAGAGCCTAAAAACTGGACTGGTGAAAGAAATCCAAAGAAAGATCTGATCAGCGTTGAAAAACAGACGAAAATTTGACTCGTTAGTGAAAACACAAAGACAAGGCCTGGAAGGTTGAAGTAAAATCCCCTATTTTTCCGTTTTTATTATACCGACACTATGCCTCCTGTAAAACGGCAAACGTTTGTTGAAAATCCACATGAGTTTTCCAGAGACTCAAATTTGTCACCTACTCGTTCCTTGTCAAATGTATTCGGTAGGAAAAAGAATCGACAAAATGGTTGGAGAAGACAATCTCAATCATCAACTGACCAGGAAGAATCAGTGTCAAATGTGCAATCATCTCATTGTTCTCCAAGGGTAGTTCTCTGTTGGATGCGAATAGTCTTTACTCTAATGATGATTATGTTGATTGTGCTTGTTCTTCTCACCGGTGCTTTGTATGGTCTTGATCTTGTTGCTCAAGGTACTTGTCGAACAGTTCACGATGATCAACCATTTCTTGTTTCATTTTTAACCGGTAACACTTCATTTGTTAGTTTTGATCAGTTCTTCACATGTTGTTTGAATTAGATCAACTGCTTGGAACAAATTCAAATGACTTGATTATTGGTGAATCAGATGTACAAACAACATTCACAACTATGATCGACGATTGTCGGAATCAAATACATTTTAGTCAACATTTTCTAAAGTATCATTTGAGTCGTTTGGAAAACGGTACTGATCATGCGATGAATCAGCTAAATGGCAAAATCTTTGACAAATTCAACGCTTCAATTGTCGATATTGATATTGGATCGGATCGCGATCGTCTTGCTAAATTCTCTATTGCGATCAATTCAACCGATATCCAAGGCACAGTACAGCAGATCGAAGATGATTTGAAAACAATCGAGACACAATTCGAAAAGATAACTGTTTCTGTTCCAACATTACCGGCCAATGTCGTCAATCAAATTGTCGATGATGTTAGTATTCGAAACCTATAGAAGATAAATCTGAATGAATTTGTTTTGCTGTTTTTCAGTTCAAAGACTATCTGAAAAGAGTTCTGGAGGCGACAGTCGATGCATGTCCTCTACCGTTGGCAGCAATGTACAAGACAGACACATTTATCTGCCATAATTTAGCCACATCAATCAGCGGTCTTTGGTTCAATCTCTTCGTCTATATGTTTTTCATTACATTTGGTCTCTGTATTTGTGGTCTTTGTGTTTACAAATGATTGCAATCCTTTTCTTCTAACAGGGTGATTTCCTTGACAAGTCGCTTATAGTTATCAATTCACCTGTTCAATATTTACTCAACTAATCAACTCTTTCCCTCAATATTGGCCAATATATTTCATATTATTGAAAATACTATTGACACACTTTCAAGAAAGTCTTATATTCTAACATCAAATGATTTGCTTTTGTGATTGCGGATCATGTCTTTTATAATATATTTTGCTCTGGTTGCTTTCAAAAGCGAGTATCATAGGTCTTATAGTAGCTTCAAATACTAGGAAACATACAAGTACTTATGATATCTCCACCAAGTTCTTGATTTCTTTTGTACCTAAGTACTTGTCCAACTATTTTTTTGAAAATTCCAAGTATCCAAGTACTTGGCTACAAAAAAGTTCTGTAGAGCTACTTGTTGTCCAAGGTTTTGATAATCGACATTAGACAGTCGATGCTTGAATCTAATCAAAGAAAAATGCAATTCTCGCTAGTTCGAACGCGAGAACATCGTAAAGAGTCATCCGTCTTTTCTTGAGCACTGAATAGTATTGCACATTTTCACCAGTGGAGACGGAACTCGGTAGTTTCAAATTTTGACTGCTGATGGCACTATTTGAGTTGGATAATGAAATGGCAAGAGATACAATTTGAGGCGATTTCCATCATTACCCACTACACTACTGTCAACATTCTTTTCATCATAATATCACTGCAGTTTCCTTACTACTTTCCTTCACTTGGACTAGTGATTTAATAACGGCGATTATTATTGTCTCCGTGTTTGTCGTTTTTTGTTATGCTCGTCAAGAGACTCTCTGCCAGCTCTTTGCACTCTTGTGATAAGAAAGCAAGACAGAAACTATAATACTGGCTCGACAAAAAGAGCCATGCTCTTGTATTTGGGCCGATAATCACTCTTTCACAATATCCTCTACCGAGCAGCACGAATGGAAGCTGATCGAAACCATTGTTGATAGATCAATCGTAGATGATCAGTAACATGCGGTAGTACAGATCGTTGCATAGTAGGTTCATAATATACTAGTATATAGACGACTCTTTTGATTTTCGATGAAAGTATTGAGAAAATGAACACTAGAACCAAGGCAAATTGTGATACAAATATCTGGATGTCGTTGATCAAGTTCATCGAATAGTGTCTGAGACAATTTCGATCGGACCATTCCATGTCAGAAATACCATGTCAGAGTATCTCAAAGTAGTCAATACGCTTAAGTCATGAATATGTCAAATGAAATTGATCGATTTTCACCAGTGATCAAAAATATAATCTGCGTGATCTACGTGATTATAACAGTATAACAATTTCATTTGACATATTCATGACTTAAGCGTTGGGACTGCGGTTTATGCCGACGATCAGGGTACATAAAGAAAATCCGTGTAAAAATATCTGACGATTTAACGCAAAAAACGACGTTAAAATTCCTTAAAAATTTAACGACTTAACGAATAACGATGTCTGGTCTTGGTCCGTGAAAACGCGTTAAAAATTGCCAAAACCAACGCGTTTTAACGCGTTCACACGAAGAAAACGCGTGAATCAGCGTTAAATATATCACGTTGAATGCGTGCAACATCGTTAAATAGTGATCTTTTTGACGTGTTTTTACGCGCCCACACGAAGAAAACGCGTGAATCGGCGTTAAATATGACACGTTTAACGCGTTCACAGAAGCAAAACGCAAGGGCGAAAACCAAGGGGGGAAAAGCTGAGTTTTGATTATTTTGATTTGTTTTTGATTATCATAATTATTTTTATTTCGTCTCAAACTTCGTCGCCTTGCCGCTTTTGATAAGGAGAAATCGGTGTCATAGTGCATTCTTCTGGTAAACTCTCTTAGAGTACGACCCAAGAGCAGAGCAATTAATTTTGTGATTTTCATGATTAAATTGATTTTATGATTTCAACATAATTTCGAAGATCTTGTTACCATAAAAATCAGCAAGCGCTGCTTGAATTTCACTGCCTTTTGTGATTCTAGGATGCTCTCGATGATTCTGGTTATTAAAAAATCATCAAAATCTGTTTCTCGCTCTTGGATTAGATTGATTTTGACGAGTTTGATGGCTTTTCGTGATTTCAAAGCGATTTTAGTAATGTTAAAGTCACCGAATCCTGTTTTTTCCTTGGATTTCATCGATTTTGGTGGTTTTGAAATCATCAAACTCAGTTCTCCACCCACCTGGTACAATTGCATACGGCTGTCACTTTTATTTTGTTTTACTTTTCTTTTACGACAAAAGAAAAGTTCGTCAATTTGCCCTTGCGGCAGTTTCATATCAGCTTGTGGAGTTGGAACTGTTCGAACAGCTCATTATCATCTTGAGCTCATTTCATTTGACCTATAGGTTGGCTGGTGAAGGTGGAACTAGATCTGTCGTTCTGTATGCCAGCTCACGAGCTCATTTGAGCTGGTGACCAGCTCCAGCTCAAATGAAATGACCTGGTCGCCAGTTCCAGATCATCGAGCTTGAGCTGGTCATCCAGCTCTTCGACTCAGTTCTTGTGAACTGTTGAGTTTAAATGCTCACACCTCTATTGTGCTCCTTTCTCATTTAGCAAAGCTATAGTTTTTCATTCCAACATTTTTTCAAGAACAAAAATTAATTTTGACAACCTTTTTCTTCTATTATAGAAGTAAATTTTTCTGCAACCGACCAATAGCATTTTGGGTGGTGGTCTCAGGGACTCTCTTAATGAATATCCTTTCGAACAGAGAGCGATAACTAGGGCTGTCAGATTTAACGTTAATTAACGTTAATTTTCGTTTAACGTTAACGTAAAATACGTTAACGTTAATTTTAACGTAAACGTAAACTACGTTAACGTTAATTTTAACGTAAACGTAAAC